CTTTTTGTAGTGTGAAAAGCTATGAAAAAAAAAAAAACGATTTTTCTGGGAGGAGGATATGAAATGAATTCTGAGAGCGCAAGGTTTATCTGTTTAATCAAATGGAATATCCATCCAAGGACAAGTTAAAAAATTTTTTGTAACCACATACTTTTTGGAATTATCCATATCCGAGCGTATTCACACAATCAGGATTGTAATGCAAACACACATAGTTTGTTATGTTCATACATTTTCAGCCTTCCATTTCTATTTGGATAATTACTACAAACTGATTCTCAAAAGAAAGCATGCTGTCTGCACAAGGTTAGTTGAGAAGAGTTCCAGGAGAGTAATGATTACCATCTGGAAGAAGATAAGGAAAGGGTTAATTAGTTACTTAGATGGTGCATTACTAGACTCAGCACACTGGTACCCAGGTGTCGTTCCCTTCATTGCAGATTCTTTCCATACGCAAAACTGAGGGGAGCTATGAGAGGTTCTGTATCTTTCTCAGAAAAGAAACTGGAACAGGCCCTAAATCCTCCTTAATCACAAAGAAAAATATGTGAGTGAATTGAAAAGATAAGAGAGTAGAGAATTTGTGCTTTATTTGAAAACACTTTTGCCATTCTCATGGTCTTTTGAAATATTTTGAACAAGACCTCCTCTCCAAAAAACAAGTGACGAGGATTTTTACAGTTTCTCGAGGCCAGTTGTTTGACATAGTGGTTGATTTATATGTATTCTTGGCATCTTGTTGTCTCTTCTACACTCGTTTTTCTCCCCACACCAAAAGCTATTCATGCTCCTAATCAACATTCTCACTGCAGAGTTTCTTGCAGGGAGCTCACTCTGTTTTCACTTGAAGTCACTTACTATATTAATTCCCATAACTAGTCATTGAAAATGGCAAACAACTTGGGCCCTTTTGGTGAAATGGGAGAAAAGTATCCTGAATTTTCGTACAATTATCTTTGGTTGACCTGTACAACTCATGTTTCTCCATCTTTTGAAGCACCTGAAGTTATTTTTCTGCAGAAATTTGGAAGACGTGACTCTGAGTCCTCTGTGCTACCAGACTTCGCGCTGGACTGTATCTTCAGCAAGCAAAACTTTTCAGGGGAGTTAAGGGTCCCTCTGCTGGTGAGCTGGAAGAGCTCTTCCAGCTGGGTGGCATGGGTTCAAAGCCTGGAAAGGTTAACAACTCTCAGTCTGGATCATTGCCTTGGGTGTCAACCTGGGACGTGGGTAATTATTTCATGCTTTTCTTTAAGTTCCAGTCAGTGGAAATTCCGGTCTGTGTAAGCATGTGCTCTGGAACTGAAAGTGGGGGAAGGGACCCTGGTGTCCTGATTTGCTCTCCTTAAAGTTTCACAGAACATGTAGCAGGCCTAGATAATTGAATAAGCTGATTTAACAAATTTAAACAGGCTTTTGTGTTTTTTTTTTTTCTTATTGCAAAATAAATGTTTATTGTAGAACATTTAGACAAAAGAAAAAAGAAACTACCCCATTCCATCCTTAATTTAACCCATTAAATACTTTGGTTTAAAAAAAAACAACACTGGTGTATACCTTCCAGTCTTTTTTTTTTTTCTTATGTATTTATAGAAGTAACTTTTATTTATTTATTTATTTTTCAACGTTTATTTATTTTTGGGACAGAGAGAGACAGAGCATGAACGGGCGAGGGGCAGAGAGAGAGGGAGACACGGAATCGGAAACAGGCTCCAGGCTCTGAGCCATCAGCCCAGAGCCCGACGCGGGGCTCGAACTCACGGACCGTGAGATCGTGACCTGGTTGAAGTCGGACGCTTAACCGACTGCGCCACCCAGGCGCCCCTATAGAAGTAACTTTTAAATTACAATAGTTTCAGAACTGCTTTATGCCCTCTTATTTTACAACTTCATTGAGGTATAGTTTACATATAATTAAATTCACCCATTTTAAGTGTACCGTTTGATAAGTTTTCATAAAAATCTATATTTGTGCAACTACAATCATAATTAGGTTCTAGAACAATCCCATACAGCCTTCTCATGGCTCTGAGCAGTTGTAGCCTATTTTATAACCTGATGATAGCTTGTAATATCATTCTTTTGTTTGAATGGTCTTTTCTAACATCATTTTAATTTATAGAACTGTACCATGACTTACTGGACGTTTAGGCAACTTTAAAATCCAACACGATACACATCCTTGTAACTAAATCATTTTGTATATTCATGATTATTTCTTTAGGAATAATGTCTAGAAGTGGAAGTAGTGAGTCAGTGGTTATAATTAGCTGGATTACTAAGCTGTGAGGTCAGGGCATTTTATCTGTTTGTTCACTGTTATATCCAGGTCCTAGAACAAGGTCCAACACATAGTATGCAACTCAATAAATGTTGAATAATGGGTGCCTGTCAGTTAAGCATCCGGCTTCGGCTCATGATCTCACTGTGTGTGAGTTCAAGCCCCGTGTCAGGCTCTCTGCTGTCAGCACAGCGCTTGTTTCAGATCCTCTGTCCCTCTCTCTCTCTGCCCCTCCCCCCCCCTTGTTTGCACGTGCTCTCTCAAAAATAAACATTAAAAAAATAATTGTTGAATGAATGGCCGAGTACCTATTGCTATACTGACAAGATGCCAGTTTATACTGTTACTACAGTATGTGACAATTTGGTAGAAAGACTGTGTTACTGTACATTTTAGATTTTCCAGGACAGATATGCTTAAAAATATTCTTTCCTGTTATCTCATTGATCCAAGAATATATTTCAGGAATTCTAATTTTGGCATCCAAATTACATCTCTTAGATTGCCTATTATGGTCATAGCCATACCAAAAAAAGAAAAAAATCTGTTAAACCATAAATCTTATTCTTCAGGTAAGAAACATGGCCACTTGTCAATAAGCTTCTTTTTCTCAACATCGTAACATTGTAAAGAATGGCAAATATATTTAGACAGTTTTGACTCTTCAAGGTAACACAAATTTACTTCAAGACTGTTTCATTAAATAGTTCTAGGAGACTTCACTATTTTCATTGCTTTTTTCTGGCATGTTATGATTTTATATTATAAGCCACTGTCCCCATCAATGTGAAACATGTTTTTTCCTTTTTCTAACAGGAAAAAATAATGTAATGGATGATATACACCTAAATGTGATTAAAATAGTAAATTTTGTGTGTAGTTTTCCACAATAAAAATTATAACTACCAAACGTGTAATATAGTTACATATGTGCATCTTTATTAAATGCATTAAAGAACAAGTGTAATGGATGAGATAAACTTTAAAAAAAAATTTTATGTTTATTTATTTCTCAGAGAGAGAGACAGAGCATAAGCAGAGGAGGGGCAGAGAGAGAGGGAGGCACAGAATCTGAAGCAGGCTCCAGGCACTGAGCAGTCAGCACAGAGCCCGACGTGCTGCTTGAACCCAAGAACCGTGAGATCATGACCTGAGCCGAAGTCGGGTGCTTAACCGACTGAGCCACCCAGATGCCCTGAAAACAACATCCCTTTTTAAAAGGTATCCAAGAGATCAGCCTGAAGATGTGTGGCTAAGGAGTCTTAGGAAGACCTAAATTTAATCAAGATTCCCTGGGAGATGGTGATATTATTCCCTGGAACTGAAGGATCATTGTCATCTGCTGTCTTTGGCCTCTTTTACAAATAATCAAAAACCTAGTGCCACTTACAGTCACATAAACTAAGAGGCACGTTACAGGGAGAGCCCCTAGGGGCTCAGAGGCCCTTAAGGTAAGCGCACATCTCAGGTTTTCTCCTCGTGCCCAGGCCGTTTTGAGCCAGGTGGGGGCAGCAGAGTGCAGTTGTTTGCTGGGGAAAAAAACCACATGACCTCTATTTACTAGGTAAGAATTAGGAAAGGGAAACCACATTATGACTTAAACTTTTTTACTGGTCAGAATTCAAAAGATGTCAACATTTCCAGCTGCTAAGAATGTACTAGACAAAAGCAAGAAACCACAATTTTGATATCTATGAAAAAGTAGTTTGCAGTGAGCTGTTTAGAAAATGTAGAAATCTCATCGTCGAAACCCTTTGAAACCTTTCCGTTTTCGTTTTCTTCCTGTGTCTGTGTCACATTCACTGATATCAGAGGAAGAAGAGAATACAGAGTTGTGGAAGGTATGCCTATTCATGTAGGCATCATATAACCTTAAGTCCTTTGGTGAAAGTAATTCTTGGCAAACATTCCAGGACCATGTGTAAGTAGAAAAGGTATCATAAAAGGACTCATTTTTAGTGTCTATTCCAATTAAATCCCCTCGGATCTTCTGCCAGAGGTTTAGCATGTCTTTCCGGTGCTCCAGGGCAATTCCCAAGTTATAGGTATCTATAGCTCTCTTCACCTGCAGTGAGAGAGCAGAAGTTGGCAGTAGTTACCTTAACATATCTTTGACCTATGGACCACAATTCTAGATATCCTAAGAGTTACATTCCCAGGCTGGTTGAACATCACTGAGTTTACACATTGGTAGGACCTTTTGAGGACATGCAAGTTAGGAGTTGATGGACAATCGAAATGTATGATTTGGGAATAATGAGAGAAGAAATGTTATGAGAATATTAAAAACACAATAGACTAAAACAAGGAGGAAATGGGGGATAGAGACAGGCTCTGGATATAATGGGAGTGCCAAGGATGGCACTCAATCCAGCTTAGGACAGGGAGGGAGAGATGCTGAGTAGTTCCTCAAGGGTTTGGCCAGACTGAGAGAGTCACTGGTGATGGGAAGGAGTTTCAGGGACAGGAGACAGCAGAAACAAAGGAACAAAGGCCTTTGGAATTGGTAGAGGCACAAGCACTACCTAAAGTGTCAGGTTTTGAAAGTGGGAGGGAAGGAGTGAAGGAGATGAGGCAGGCAAAGCACTGTGCTGTACTGGCCCTTAGACTTGATCTCAGGGAGGTTGGGAGAGCCCTTTCCTCAGTGAAAATCATGCTGTAGTGAGCCATTCCTCTCTTTCTTCTCTTCTTCTTTTCTTTTCTTTTCTTTTCTTTCTTTCTTTTCTTCTTTCTTTCTTCTTTCTTTTCTTTCCTTCTTCTTCTCTTCTTTCTTCTCTTCCTTTCTTTTAGGTAGTATTTTATTATTTATTAAGCTACAATGAATTCCTGAGATTGTTTAGGTGGTATTACTCTACTCTACCATGGCTAGTTGTAGAAAATATCATATACTACTACTTGAAGCGGATGGAGAGAGATAAAGCTCAGAGGAAAGTAGAATAGAAGAAATATAGGGAATACATAGCGGAGAGAGAGCAAGAAGGATGATGGAGTGCGTGCAGGAGTGAGTGACCAACTAAACATGAGTCCTGATTCTTTTTTTTCATAAATGGAAAGATTTTATGCAGAGAAAGGAATTTATTATTGTCACTATTGTTTCCATATTAACACTTAGGAAACCTAAAGGTGTCTCCCCTCAGTACCCATCACTCCACCCCTTCCTCCTCCCTAATTTCCCCTCGACCATCAACCCTTTATTTATTCTTTGTCATACCTTATGTTTTGTTTTCCCACTTATGAAAAAAAAAAAAAAAAACATGAGTTCTCCCCATGGTTTTTTCTGCTTAGGATCCACATAAGAGGAAACTAGGAAATATCTGTTCTTTTTCTAGGCGATGACTTATATGTTTAGCATCACACACTTCTCCCCACTCCATCCACGCATGCTAAGTTACAAAAAGGCAAGGCCATATTTTCATTTTTTCTCATTACCTAGTAACACCCATTGTGTATATAAACCACAATTTCTTTATCCATCATCAGTTGAGCGGACATATTTAGGCTCTTCCATAATTTTAAGTTGTTGTTTATGCCGTTATAAACATTAGTGCCCCATGCATCAGCAAGGCGCGTGCTGTGTCCCTTGGATACCACTTAAAGGCAGTTAAGCTGGGTCATAGGGTATTCATTTTTGCCTTCTTTCTGAGGTGGAACCTCCACATCTGCAGCTTCCAGAAGCGGCTAAAAATTCACTTGTATTCCCCAACAGTGCAGGCAAGAGGGTTCCTGCTTCTCCACATCCTCTCCAGCATCTATAGTCTCCCTTACTTAATTATTTTGGCCACTCTGACTGGCGGAGGTGAGAGGACTGAGGTAAGATTTGTATTTCCCCGATATGGTTTATCGCCGAACAGATCTTTCATGTGCCTGCTGGTCCGATGCCTTTCTTTAGAGAAGTGTCTATTGCCCATTTCTTCAATTAAGTATTTGTTGCCGGGTGTGGAGTTTGGTGAGTTTCTTTATAGATTTTTGATAATGCCCCCAATATGTCCCGAAGTGTCATTTGTAAATATCTTTTCCCCATTCCTGCTATTGTTTTTGTTGGTTGCTTCTTTGCTGTACAGAAGCTTATCTTTCATGGGTCCACTAATTTTTGCTTTTTAATTCCTTGCCTTGGGGAGATGTGTCGAGTAAGAGATTGCCACGCTGAGGCTCTGAGAGGCTTGCTTTCCCTGTTGTTTTGATGGCTCGTCTCAAGTCATCCAGGTCCTTATCCATTTTGTTATTTTTCAGAACAGTGAGAAAGTCAACCTTCTTCTGCATGTTACACCAGTTCTCCCAGCAATCATTTGTTAAAGCAGACTGCCTGCTCCATTGGGATATTTTCCCTGTGATGAGTTTTGGCCGGCACGCTTGTGGGTCTAGTTCTGGGGTTTCTGTCTTCATTCCATTGGCCCAGGTGTGTCTGTTTTTCTGCCAATGTACCATGCTGTTGCCTCTTGATGATATCAGCTTGTGGTGGCCAAAGCTCCTGGGATTGTGATGCCCTGGTCTTTCTCTTCAAAATTACTTTTTGGCTATTCTGGGCCTTTGTGGTTCCATATGTTTTAGTTCTCCATTGTTCTAGTTTCAAAGTTAAGTGTAATTTTGATTGGGACTTCGCATTGAATGCAGTAGATAGCTTGGGTAGTATTGGACATTTTGATGTTTATTTATCTCCTTCAACCATAGGGAATGTCTTTTCCATTTCAATCTTTTCTCAATTACCTTCATAGCTTTCTATAGTTTTCAAAGCATACAGATCCTTTACATCTTGGTTGGGATTTATTCCCTAGGTATTTTATGCTTCTTCATACCAGAATGGGACTGTGTTTTCTTTTATTTACTCTTTCTGTTGCTTCATTGTTATAAATAGGAATGCAAACTCGATTTCTGTGTACATTGATTTTGCATCCCAACTTACGGAATTCATGTATCAAGTTCTTACAGACTTTTGGTGAGTCTATCTTCCATGTATATAATATCATTCGCAAAGAGTTTTAAAAGCTTGATCAATTTTGACTTTGATTTTGTTTTATGTCTGATTGTTGCTGTTAGGAAATCTCCAGCACATTCATAATAACAACAGCGGTGAGAGTAAGTATCCCCTGTCGTGTTCGATCTCAGAAAAGTTTCAAGTTTTCTCCCCTCATGGAGGATGATGTTAGCTGTGGCTTTCCTGTTTGCTTAGATCTTTAAGTATGTTCCTTCTCATCCCCACTTCCCCTCAAGAGTTTTTTATTAAGAAAGGGTGCTGATTTTGTCGGGCTGGCCTTTTCTTGCATCGACGACAGATCATATGGTTTTTTCCACATACACATAATGTGATAACAATGCTGATTGATTTTTTGCTAATGTTGAACCAGCCCTGCATCCTGTGAATGAATCCACTTGATCATGGTGAATAATTCTTTTTTATATGTCGCTGAATTTATTTGTTAGTATTCAATTTTTTGCATCCATATTCATCAGGATACGTTGCCTGTGTTTTTTTTTTTTACTTTGGCCTCTCGTTCGGTTTAGGGAATCAAAGTACGGTTTATAGAATGAGTTCGAAGTTTTCCTCTTTCCTTCCTTTTCTATTTTTGAATAGCTTGAGAAGAGTTAGGTAATATTCTTAAACGTGCCTGGTAGAAATTTTGGGAAGCCATCTGGTCCTGGACTTTATTTGTTGGGAGATTTGATAACCGATTCACTTTTCGCTGGTGATAGCTGGGTTCTGTTCGCTTATTTCCTCCTGATTGCAGAGTTGGAGAGTGGTGTTCAGGAATTTGTCCATTTCTTCCAGGTTGTCCACTTTATGGCAGATATGGTTTTTCATATACATTCCCTGATAATTGTTTGTATTCTGAGGGATTGCCGGTAATCATCTTCCATTTTCATTCATGATACTTATTATTTCCAATACTCTTTTCTTTTGAGGTCAGAGGTTTCATCGGCTTTATTTATAGATGTCCCAACCCCTGGCTTCCTCGCTGATCTGCTCTGCTTTTTTAGATATTCATATTGTTGCTTCTTTTCGCTCTGATCTTTATTATTTCTCTCTTTCTTCGTTGTGGGTTTAGGGCTGCTGTTCTGTTTATTTCCTTAGGTGCTTTGTTAGATTTTTTTTTTGCATTTGGGATTTTCCTTGTTTCTCAGAGGATAGCTGATTGCAATGTATTTGCCCTCCCCAGGGACTGCCTCACAACCCAAAGCCGCTTGGGATTGTTGTAGATTATCGCTTTGTTCCAGTTGTTATTTTTTTTACCTCTTCTCTCTAATTCTTCCGGACATCCACCCATTCGGCCAGAAGGCATGGTGGGTGCTCAACCCATGCTTTTGAGTATTTCATTTTTTTCTTTGTTGATTTCAAGCTTCATAAAGCATTTGTGGTCTCGGAAAGCGATGGTATGATTTCACCCTTGTAAACTTATGAAGGCCAGGTTTGTGAATCAGCATATAACTATTCCTTTATGGAAATGTTCCAGTAACTCTTGGTAGTTTAAGTTCTGTTGCTTACGCAGAGTTCTAAATATCTGGTGCTCAAGTCCATCCCATCCAATAATGTGTCTCATTCAAATCTTTGCTTTTATTAATCCCGTGTGTCTAGCTGGATCTATCCATTTCTGTGGGTGGCAAAGAAGTCCCCGCACACACACATTCTGGTCATCACTAAGGCTGCGTTTAAGTATGGAGGTAATTGTTTCATATGGAGCTTTTGGGCTTTTCCTATTCGCACAGACATGCAAGGGCACAGCTGCCTTCTCCTGATGGATAGACCCCGTCACCACACATATAATGTCCTTCTTCATCTCTCAGCTGCCATGTACTTTTTACTTAAAGCCTGTTTGTCTGATATAAGATACCAGCTTTCTTGGCTTCAGCATAAACAACAGATTCCTCATCCCCTCACTCTCAATCTAAAGGTGTCAGTCTAAAAATGAGTCTTGTAGACAAAATGATGGGTCTTGTTTTTCATCCATTCTGGATGCCCCAAGTCTTTACATGATTTATTTAATCCCATTTACATTCAGTGTTATTATGGTAGAAAGCAGGTATGGCTTGAGTCACAGATGTCTGTATAGCCATGTTTGTCAGAAGATGTGTCTCTGGTACCTCTCATTGGTGGTCCCCCTTAGACTTCTTTGAAGCCTTGCTGGCTTTATGGGTGACAAAATTCTTCAGTTTTGTTTGTTTGGGAAAATAATCTTTTATCTCTCCTTCATTCTAAACAGACTTGAGCTGATGGCCGGCTGCATATTTTTCCGGGTTCAGTTAACACTGAAAATCTCGCGTGTCACTCCTTTTTCTGGCTCGCCAGCTTTCTTCAAAAGAGATCAGTCACCAGTTTATAGGCTCCTTATGGTGAGGGCATCAACCTTTGCTGCTTTCAGAATTTTCTCTTTTATCCCTTAGAGATTTTGCCACAATACCTATGATATAGTCATGCAGAAGACTTATCTGCTTTCATCGCCTGAAGGGAGTTCTCTGCCTCTTGATTTCAATGCCTTTTTCCTTCCCCTAGTTCAGGAAGTGTTCAGCTATTATTTCTTCAAGTGGCACCCCTTCACCTTTCCCTCTCTTCCTCCTCTGGATACCCCATTAATATCACGGATGATATATGATATTTTTTTATCACTTAAGTTCTCTGATTCTTCTCCTCCTGCAGACTTCAAGTGGGATTTTTTTTTTTATCATTTTTCAGCCTCTTTTTTTCCATATATAACTTTATTTAGTTCATCTTATTTCTCCTCTTCTCTGCCTCTTCAATAATCCCGAAGGTTTCCATTTTATATTGCTTTTTTTTCAGCTCCCTCGTGGACTGTTCCTTAGCCCCTTGATCTCTGTAGCAAGAGATTTCTTCAAAAGCTGTCCGCTATACTGCTTTTTCAAGCCCAGCTTTATTACATTTGGAGATGACTATTATTCTTAAATTCACCCTCTGTTATATTATCTTTTTGATCAGCTCATTAGTTGTGTTGTTATTTCCTGGAGATTTTTCCTGAGGGGGGAATTTTATCTTGGTCATATGCTTCATGGATAGTTCCTGCTGCAGAGGACCTGCAGGGCTCTCTGTGCTGTGGTGTGTAATGGAGTTGGTGGGCGAGCTTCAGTCAGATACCATGCCCCGCCCATCACTGCTGGGGCCACAGTCAGGGATTCAAGCAGTGTCTCTTCTCCCTCCCATGGGCTGATCAATCAGGGATGGGTGGTTTGAAACAAGGTCATGGCAGACTGCTTTCAGAAGATGTGTTGGGGATTCTCATGCCTAGCTGGGGTGGTAGGCAGGTGTTGTCATCAGGCAGGAGGGCAGTGCTTAGCTTGTTTCCTCCTTAGGTGATCCTCTTCAGGAGGGCCCTGTGGCAGCAGGAGGGAGTCAGAAGCAAGCCGGAGGGTAGGCGTTTGTTCCGCAGAGAAGCCGAAAGTTGGGTAAGCTTGGCCAAGGCTGAGCCAGCAAGTCTCCTCAGTGAACCGGGTTCTCTTTGGGATTTTGGGGATATGGGGAGATAAGTTGTGGGTTTAGCCTTTGTTCTCCCCTCCCCACACCAAACTGAGTTTGTCGCCCTGGGGTCAGTATAGACTTTTCCTTTGTCCTCCAGCTCGCTGAGCAGAGCTGTAGTTAACTTTGACCCTCCCAGATGGTGTCAGGTTGCTGGTCGGAACACAGTCCTGCCAGGGCTCTCCTCCGCTTTTTTGTAAGCCAGACTGGGGTTTGTGCTTTTGGTTTTAAGAAGCCGCCCTCCGCCGCCTCGCCGCTCCTCCCACAGCCAGCGTCCGAGAGCGACCGCAGCCACAACGTCACTTCTTCTTCACCAGGTCATGTTTCTGCTATGTTCATGACTGTTTGCTAATCTCAGGAGTTTTCGTTATTTAGGCAGGTGGTGGTGGAATTAGTGAGATCAGCAGGACGCCATGGTGAGCCCGTAGCTGCTCTCCTTAGCCATATCTTCCCTCTCTCCTCTCGAGAAGTCCTGCCATTGTTGAGAGGGAAGCATTCGTTCTTAAGCAGGACAGGGGCAGAGCTGGATCTTTATGTTAGATCATGAGCAGCTGTGTGGAGAGTGGGTGGAGGGGAGCAGCTGTGAGGTAGGGATAGGAGGTTGGGGGGGTCCAGGCAAGACCTAATGAGGGCCTAGTGAAGGCAGTAGTGATAGGATGGGATGAAGGAGACAGATTTGAAAAATTTTCAGGAGAACAAGAGTAGCCAGATTTGGTTGTAGGTGGATGTGAGGAGTGAGGACAATTCACAAATTAAGGGTGACTTCTGGCCTTCTAGTTTCATTGACTGGGTAGAGGGTGGTATCAGCAGCTGACATACAGAATCCCCAAGGAAGAGCCCGTTTGATGCAGATGACGAGTTTGGTTTGGACTGGTAGAGTTAGATAGGCTGAGACAGTGAGGTAAAAATGTTCATCAGGCAGCCAATGAGCTAAGGTGAAAGTACTGGAAAGAAGTCTAGGCTAGAGACAGATTTAAGAGTTATCTGTGTGTAGGTGGCAGCTGAAACAAGAAGGGTAGATTGAGATAGTGCAAAGAATGCTTGCCCTGGCTTTTCCTTCACTTAACGCAGAGATCCCCAAAGTTCTGTTGTGACTGGTTTACAGGTATGCCAATTGACTGCCTTCCTCAAGCTCCTTAGCCCTTGGGGCAGCCGGTACTCTGGGTTGGAGGCCTCCGGCTATAAGGAGCCTCCATTTATTCCAGCATGAGTATGTGCCATGATGAGACAGAGGTCGGGAGCCCACTCCTTTGTGTTCTTGTGGCGTCCAGTGCCGACCTCACCTGTTGTTTCACTTATCCCCATGTATTACTACTGTTTATTTCCTTCTCACCCTCACTCCAAGCTCATGGAGGGCAGGAACTCTGTTTTTTCCTCCCCCGTGGTATCCCGTAAACCTAGAACTTTGTTAATAATGTATAGATATTTACTGAACAAATGACCGGACGAGTGCCTATAATGGGAAGAGCAGTAGGAAAACGAAGAACCATCAAGACTGAAGGGATGAACATTCAGGAAAGAAAAGCGAGAGGAAGGGACACAGAGCTGCAAGATGCAGTACTGTAAAGGCCAAGGAAGTGGAAACCATCCAGGAGACCTTGATCATTAGTGTCACGTGCAGAAGGCGGCATGAAATACATGTACCCCAGTCTGTCTCTGTGGAGTATAAAAGCTGCTAAGATGTCACGGCACAAAGGTAGTCAGGGAGCACAGAGTTATGGTTAAAAATGTGGATTCCAGAGCCACACGGCTCGTGTTTCTAATTCTGGCTCTATTCCTCTATTCCTTCTGCCTTTAGACAAGTGAACCTCTCTGTGCTTATCTCTAAAATGACAAAGAACCATAACAGCACCTATCTGGAAGCACTGTTGTGATCAGTAAATGAATTAGTACCCGTAGAGTACTTGTGGAGCACCTATATAGCACCGTGCTTGGCACCTGGCAAGTGCTCTTGAACTATCCTTTTAGCTGCTGTAATCGAGATGCTTTCACTCATCATGGTTCCCTCAGTACACCCCCCTCACTGTGACAGCTGGCTGCCTTACCTAGATGCTATTTCCAGCATGAAACAAATGAATGTCCCAGAAGCGATGCTGGGTATGGTTCCATGGGTGGTTAGCAGGATGAATTATAACAGTTAACATTTGAATCCACTTGATTACAGAGCAAGAAGCGTCATTGCCATGGGTAAAAGTGAGAAATGAGCTTGTCTTGTTTTAAAGACACAGAGCAGAAAAAATAACATTGGGGTTTATGGTTGTAGTATTGAAATGGAAAATATTCTCATCAGTGCTTTCTGAGAAGGTGCCAACAGTGAATACTCACGGGCTGTTTAATAGCTGCCGCATCAGTCACTGTCCAATTCTGCTTCTTTTTGAGCATTTGGTCAATGGCTAGGATGTCAGTAGGACAGCCTGAGACGGGGTCAATAGGCTTTATATTTGCTGCCTTTATACACATTTAAAAAAAGAAGGTTAGTGATATCTTTTGGGTTGAATTATACAACATAGACATAATAAGGAGAAATACATTGCATTATGAAGGGGTTTGTGTATGATACAGAAGGTAATTGCTAAGCCACTTGTCAGTTGTTTTGGGCTACATGGTATGGTGCCATGTGTAAGTGAGCATTTAGCAAATTTTCTTTCATAATGATGAAGCCTACTCAGAAGTATAGACCAGAAGATGGGGCGCTGGGGTGGCTCAGTTGGTTAAGCGCCCGACTCTTGATTTCACCTCACGTCATGATCTCACACTGAGTGAGTTCGAACCCCGCATGGGGCTCTGTGCTGAGCGCAGAGCCTGCTTGGATTCTCTGTCTCCCTCTCTCTCTCTGCCCCTCGCTCACACACACACACACGTGCTCTCTCTCTCTCTCTCTCTCAAAAATAAGTAAATAAACATTAAAACAAGAAGAGATGGCTTATGTGTGGAATGGATATGGAAGGTAGAGAGGAGCCAACTCTACTTTCACCAAATTTCCCAAGCCATCACCAAGCTCTGAAAATGAAGCTGGTGCCCTCCACAGATGACAACCTACAGTACTTCCAAACTTCCCATGGGGAGCCAGCCATCCATTTTCCCTGCTCCTGGGCTGCTGAACAATGCTGGCAGAAATCACGTAAATATGCTCATTGATTTCTTTGAAGACGTGTATTACCCAGTCTCATTCAGGCCCGTTGTACCGCCTGCCATTACTTTTCTTCATTTGCCGTTAACTCTCTTACAGCCCTCAGAGCAGTCTTCTTAGTGGCTGCTGGGAAACCAGGTCTGCACACTCCCTCAGCTACCGATCTTGTCTCTCCAGGGCTGCCTAATATACATTCTTTTCACTCTTCTTTCCACCTTAGGATTTCTCCATCTTGTAGCCTGATTTTTCCTCTTTGCCTCTTTGATGTGAGAGTTTTTCCCGAATATTTATTTGCTCCCTGGACCATTTCCCTTCAATTTCCCTTGTTCCAGAGCTGGCTTCGTGGGTGTGTGATCTGTACAATCACACAGGACCACGTACTTAGAAGGGCCCTGAGTTTGGTTTACTGTTCTGCTGTTGCTGTCTTTAAATTCTTAGTGATTTTTGGACAAGGGGGCTCCACATTTCCATTTTGCACTGGGCTCCACAAATGGCATAACCAGTCTTGCCCCTCTCCTACAACTTCAGTTTCTCTGCCTCGGGCAGCGGTTGTCAGCTTTGGCTGCATGTTGGAACTTTAAAAAAATGCTGAAGCTTAAGCCCCATCCTGAGATCTGATTTAATTGGTTAGGGTTGTGGCCTGGGCACAGGGCTGTTAAAAGCTCTCCTTGGTGATTCCGTTGTGCAGCCAGGATTGAGAACCATAGCTCTAAGGGCTCTTCCCCCTGGCTACTAATGTGCTCAAGTTCCCCATGTCCGGAAACAACTTTTTTCTAGATTCTGATTCTATATTACGCTTTAGTTCCATGTCTCTCTTCCTTAACAGATAAGAGTTTTTTGTAAGATGAGTTGATTTCTTCTTTTTTCTTCTTCCTTCTTCCTCTTTCTTTTTTCTTTTTCTTTCTTTCTTTCTTTCTTTCTTTCTTTCTTTCTTTCTTTCTTTCTCTTTCTTTCTCTTTCCTTCCTTCTTTTCTTTTCTTTTCTTCTTTCCCTTCTTTCTTTTGGTCTGTTTTATCAGTTTCTGGAGATGCATGATAAATATCTCCCTTCTTTCTTTTCTTTCTTCTTTCTTTCCGTCCTTCCTATTTTCTTTTATTTTTTCTTTTCTTTCTCTCTTTTCTTTCTCTTTCCTTCCTTCCTTCCTTCCTTCCTTCCTTCCTTCCTTCCTTCCTTCTTTCTTTTCTTTTCTTTTCTTTTGGTCTGCTTTATCAGTTTCTGGAGATGCATGATAAATATCTCCCTTCTTTCTTTTCTTTTCTTTTCTTTCTTTTTTCTTTCCTTCCTTCCTATTTTCTTTTATTTTTTCTTTTCTTTCTCTCTTTTCTCTTTCTTTCTCTTTCTTTCTTTCTTTCTTTCTTTCTTTCTTTCTTTCTTTCTTTCCTTCTTTCTTTCAGTTTGCTTTATCAGTTTCTGGAGATGCATGATAAATATCTCCCACTGTGATTATGGGTTTGCCTATTCACTTTTTTAGCATGCATAGTGCCTTTAAAAAGTCTAAAGTTAATCCTTACAATTCTGTTAACTGTTATCTGTCAGTTTGCTAGGTACACACAGGTTCAGGATAGTTATATCTTTCTGAAGATTTTTAAAAGTAATTAAATAGCATCTTTATCTTTAGCTATGTTTTCCTTAAATTTTACTTTCCCTATGCTAATATATTGATACCAGCTCTCTTTGATTTGTATTTGCCTAATTTATCTTTTTCAGTCTTTTTACTTTCAAACTTTCTGTGTTGTATTTTAGGTGTGTCTCCTTTAGAGAACATATATCTGAGAATTATTAAAAATCAGTCTCGGGGCGCCTGGGTGGCGCAGTCGGTTAAGCGTCCGACTTCAGCCAGGTCACGATCTCGCGGTCCGTGAGTTCGAGCCCCGCGTCAGGCTCC